TTCCCATGTAAAAAAATTCACATGTGAACTGAAATAATGTTATTGAGTTGTCCATGATCAGATTGTTGCTCCGTGGTTTTATGTTGTTACAGTAGTGTTCCCATGTAAAAAATTTCAGATGTGAACTGAAATAATGTTATCGAGTTATCCAAGATTAGAATGTTGCTCTGTTGGTTTTATGTTGTAGTGCTAATCAATTAATCTTTATTGTAAATCTTCTCAACATAGTTTTGTGCTTTGTGATAGCATAATGGTCTTCTGTAAACTTAAATGAGCAGTTTTGTTTTGAATGTTAGTGCTAATAATTGAGCTGTTGTGTTTTGACCAAATTGGTATAAAAAAATAATGTCATTTTGACTTTTGAGTCTATATGGTTAACCTTGTGTCCACTGTTTTGGTATGCTGGTAATATTTTGTCAGATTTAGAATTGTGTCAGTCATATCAATGTGTGAGATAAAATTAATATTTTAAATATTTCTGAATGACATATGGGATGTTAAAGTTATTATGTTAGCAGGTGTGTGAAAGAGAGTGTGAAATGCATTTCATTTGAAAACAAAAAGTCTTTGCATTTTGACCACTAGGGTCATACTACTACACATTTTCTACAGCTGAATGAATTGAATGAAATTTGCTATAATTTAGCAATGCAGACATAATGTTATCAATAAAAATGTAATTTGAGGATCTGTGTTAACAGTAAGCCATTATTACATCATTCTGTGCATATATCATATAAATAAATCATATAATTTGGTAATTTTTGATCATTTTTGTAAACTAATCAACAATATTAATTTTGTTCTTCATTTATTTTCATCCCACATTTGTAATGAATACTTGGCATATATGAGACATTGTTCACTTAACTTATTTGTTTATATTGTTTACACTTGATTATTCAAATTTAAAAGCTGACATTCCTTTCATAGTCACATGGAATTTTATGCTGGCCACACAAAAACGTCCAAAATTACCCTTACCTGTAAATTATATCAATGTTACTGAATTAGTGCAATTAAAGAAAAAAGGACAATGTGCTGTCCATTATTTCATGAAAACATGGCAAGGACAGGATATGTACAATTATGGGTGAGACTCAGTTGAGTCTATTATGTAGGAGAACTTTTCCATCCAGGCCCTGTTATTTAAACAATAATGAATTCCCCACAATGCCATATTGAATGAGAAGAAGGGTCTATGGCACAATAATGTGTGAGGTGAAGTCTAACACATTATCTCATCTAGATATGACACTGTTGGGGATTCATTATTGATGGCTTGTTTCTTGAAATGAATAGAGATTTACATTATTGTGTGTTAATCTAAAGCTATGATGTCACAAACACCTCTAATTTTGATAGTGATGATTTAAAACACCTAATACTGGGGGTCCTTATTTCAATTATAATAACCCAAAATGTAAAAAGAAATTAATACACATGCAGTGGTGGAAGGAAGAATTCACCAGTGTTGTAAGTGTGTCATAGACGCTTGTATTTCAGTTTATGTATGATAAGTTTACAAGCTAACAACATACTAAACACACTGGTAATTTCTAGATGATTTCCTAATGTGAATGAGTCATGGAGGACTTGTTGTTTAAAAACTAAGGCAAACTCAATCTTGTTTGTATCTGTGTGTTCATGCATTGACCTCAAGTACTGCCCAGTTATTGTCTGATGACAGGAATGATCAACCAATGAGAACACAGCATTTCAATTATTGTCTGATGACAGGAATGATCAACCAATGAGAACACAGCATTTCAATTATTGGGCAGTGCATGGTATTGTAATTTGATTTAATTTGCGAGGGAGCGGCACATTTTTGAAACATTCGTCAAGGAAAACTGCAAAAATGTTGCAATGAACATTTCTTTTTGATCCTCAACGCTGTTTTGTACTTTCAAACAATTCATCTGCATAAAGACTATAATAATATATATAATATATAGACCATATAAAAGACCTTTGATTATATCTTAGATACATTTGGCTGTGAGACTGGTGATTTTCAATGTCGAAATGATCGTTGTATTGCTGATTACTTGGTGTGTGATGGTTACAACCATTGTGGTGACAACACAGATGAAGATACAGGATGTGGTAAGTTTAAAAAAAAAAACACTTGAAAAAAAGAAGCCAGAATTTTGTTTATTCTTTTATTTTGACCTTGAATGCTAATTATGAGGCCAAACCATTAGTACAATGTATGAATATGCTTTCATTGGTATTGACTTTGTTTGTAAACCTGTACATATATATAGCTAGCATATTTTCAATGATTTCCCTTTCCTGCCAATATGTCTAGGAGTTAGTAGTACAAAGTACAGGTTTCTGATTGGTCAAAAGAAAAATTTACCAGTCCCATGGTAGTTCTCAGTGCTGTGAATATGTGAGTCAGAGAACCCTGTCACCATTGTTTTCAACCAAGTTAGTATAATTTCCAACAATAAACATCAAATTGAATGAGATATATACATGTATATACAATTATATATTTACCAAATTACTATACATATTGTTGCTCCATGCAAAAGGACAATCACAAAAATTTGTTATGGTCATGCAGCCAGGGTAAGAGCTTTTCAGTGGTTTTTAACATGGCTATGTGCTATTCCACCAATCAGATCGCTGGATTCATGATTTATATTCTCTGTATAAATTGAGAGAAGTTAGTTAGAACATGGCTTTGTCAGCTGATCTAGATTGACTGTACTGCGTAAAACAAAAATAAAATTAAATAAATTGTTGCAAATTGTTGCCATGTTAGAATTGAACTGGCGCTTCGCACTTGTGACTTCAAAACCATGTATAAAGGGCGTGTCATTTTATAACCTATTCTTAAAACTCAGATGTATTATTTATGAACCTTTTTTCAGGACTTGCAGAGACAGATGATCCAGATTATGACCGGAATCGTCAAAGTAATCATAAAGATAGCAAGGGAGGTTTGAAAGTTGGTTTAACCGTTGGAATAAGCGTAGCTGTTGGGGCTATTATCATGGCGTCATCCTGTCTTGTTGCTATCAAATGTTACTCCAAGAAATCTCAACGTACACTGTCTACGTCTCGGTTAACAAACATCGCTGTAACTGAGTGGTGAGTATATGGAACAGCTGTATTTGAATTCTGCAACTTTATTTATTATCCAGTGGAAGTATGGATTATTGTTTTAAGATTGTTCATTCACAGTTTGCACAGTCAAAAATAAACCAAAAATTTCATGTTGATTTCAACAAGCACACAAAAGTGAGCAAAAAATTATCAAACAAAAGATAGAGTAGTGTACTAATGCAAATGTATAATCTGTTATCAGTCTTTGATGTTAAAATATGTTTTTAAATACTAAACCTTAAGTGTTGATTCCTGTTATTAGTTATTTTGAAATATTAATAAAGTTTATTTTAGGAATAATGATAAAAAATATATAGGTACTAAATAACCCCCTACTCTTAATTTCATTGAAAGTGACTTTGTCTGGAAAATGATATGCATCCTGATGCCCATGCCAAGGTCTATAACAACACTGTTAATACAAATGTTACTTGTACAATATTCACAGTTTTTAATTTGCACATGTGATGTTTTTTTCGGATATCCTTTATGTTAAAGTTCATTGGTTTTAGAGCAAAAATTCTTAATATTAACTTTGTATAGTTCACTGCATAGTACAAAAAGAAATGTAGCTATATGATTAAATTAAGGAAAAATAAAACCCAGCTAATATTTCTATACAGTAACATAAATTTGTAAGTTATGAAATAAGTTATTGTAATTGCTATTATGCATGGTTCTCATTTTCTTCCCAGCCCGGAAATATCAGAACCAACGATGGGACATGACAACCCATTGTATCAAAGAGAAGGAGAACAAGCACCACCAGTTCCACCAAAATACTCTGAAATTGACATGTCACCGCCGATACAACAACCTGCTAACAACTTTTTCAGTCCAGCACCATTGTCTCCAATCGAACCATTCAGTGCTACAGGAAATGATACTTCAGCTCCTCCACTTGAACAAAAAGATGCATCTTTACTGCAGAGTGATCATGTTCCTTTGTCTCCACCAAGTCAACCATTACCATCCTTGGGTGACAGCACTGTTACTCAGCCCTCGTTGAGAGGTGCTAACCAGCCTTTACCACCACTTGGGGGTGCCCCTTTAAGTGTTGACTTGCCCTCTCGTGAGGTATTGTATAATAATAACATTGCTACGATTCATGGGGCGGAGAACCTACCCCCATTGAGGGGACCAGGAAGGTTACCACCACTTGGAAATATTCCTCCCCTCCCACATTCTGATGCATGATTTTGAGTTCTCATTTGTATATTTTTTATATGTCTTAATCTTATCTGCAGAATTGGATGTTATTCCCAAGTTAGGTTAAGTACTAATATGCTTGAAGGTTAAAATTTGTTTCCAATAGTTTACACTAAAAAAAAGCAGTTATTGTTGGATAAATATCTCAAGAAAATTTACTATTGTTATCTCTGTTAGGAATGGTTTACATCTTATCTACTTATTTGTTTTGTATATGCTTCTGACCATGATTTCGTGACATAATTTTGGTTTTTCTATTTGACACATTGATGGTGCGATATTTACAGATGAAACGAAATGAAACACTTGACATTACAAGTTGTATGTATAAGTAATTATACATATATTGAAATGAAATGTACAGTGGGATGCTATTGGTGATGTTAAATGAAATCAGTTAATTTGAGGGGAATAACAGGTTATATAAAATAAGTGTGGAATAACCAATATGTTGGTTTGATTATCAAAGTCTGCTTAAGCAATATGATGATATAATTTCTTGTTTTGGGACAAGAACACAATCCTTTGGTGAAGTAGTTCTTTTATACTTCTGAATAAAACAAACATGAACGTTCCTATGCACGAATTGACTCATAAAACATATCAGGCAGCACGAGGTACTGGTTATTTTTTGATTTCCTTTAATTTACATATTTACAAATTATTACTGGCTTATTATATTTGTGTATATAGTTCTGTTTTGTGTGTATATAATCTTTGTTACATCATAGACCTCAAAGGTCTATGGTTACGTACTTCTTTAAATCATCTGTGTTCACTTTTTAAAAGATATACATGTAGATTTTTAAAAAAAGATAATTTCTGATCACGATGTTTGGTTACGTAAAAAAGAATTTATTGTAAAATATGTACAAGGGCTTGCTTTTAAATTGAATGTCTAACTTATGACACTGCCCTCTAGTGTAATTGGTTAAAACCTTTTGTTTTTACAACACTGGTTTCTTGTATGCTTTTAATAAAAACAAGACAATTCTAATGCATAGATGAATCAGTGAATCAGTTAGGGTTAAGAAATGTTTGGGAATGGGAATCATTAATAGTATTTCAATGGTTTCATTAGTACTGAAAGTCTAAACTAATTCAGACATAATGTCAATGACATGCATACAAGTTGTACTCATTTACATTTTGCGTTTATAAGGTATTATGTAGATATTTCAGAATGCAACACAGAGTTTTGTGTTAATATGATTTAGTAAACCTCAGTACCGTAATATTTTAAAATTACAGATGTGTTTCTCTTTTCAAAAAAAGTAATATCAAATTGATTGAGTATACAACAAATGTGATTTTTGGTTTATGTGTGCGAGAGAATTGCTTTCAATAGAACAAATACCATATCTGTGTGAAATATGTAACTAATTTATAACAAATTTTTCTATCTTTGTGTGGTTGTGTACAGTGTTTAATATGTATATATATATATATATATATATTGCTTGTATATTATGTCATTCTATTTACTACTGAAAGAATATCTTTCTTACAATAATACATCTATCTATATTCTATGCTGTGTGATGTTTGTTTCATTTTTATTATTATTTAAAACTCACAACTCAACCCTGAGTGAGAATTATCTTCTGCAAAGTGATACCTAAGGTCCAAAAGATTGTGTGCTAAATTATTATGACATTCTCCCACCCTCTGGTTGCCTAGGCACCCAGGTAGTTCCTCATATGCAAATTACTGTGTATATTTCAGGGGTGGTACAAATACGGTGTTAGGACTACTGTGTTTATTCTAGTATTCTACGGCTGCCAATCGAAATAGTGAATATTTGCTGACCTGGTTTATTTATCTGTAGCAGTTATTTCAGTCTTAGGAACCGTACAGGTCTGCACAGAATTTGTACCAGTGTTCAATTGTGGTTCAGGCCTGAGCCAAAATTTATGGAACCTGTCCTGTTTTGTGTCCTGCTCCCTTTACAAGCTCTACCGGTCTGGATGAGTCATTTGTCACTCGCACCATGACATTGACACCAGCAAATCACAAAGCACCTTTTTGTGGCTAACCACATCCGATATCAACTTTTTTCACAAGCCCATTATTACATATTATTGACACAAGTAACACCTCCGAGCCAAACCCAGTCAGTTTAATATGAGGTTCCTTCTATGTGCATACTACTGTCTCTATCTTCAGCACCACACATACTTTTTGTCCACCATCATGCATGATGCTGTGCGTGTACATAATATTGTGCTGCTCCCCGGATTCACTGTCATCATTACCATTCAAACCTTTGCCAAGAGAACTGGTGGAGGCAAGGGCAGTACAAACAGAGATCGCATCTTTGGTGCCCAAGAGCATGATCATCATATGTATGAGCCAGTGGAAGTTTTGTCATCTTTGAATCCTTTTTAGATTTTCCAAGATGGTCATTCGGCATTTCATCAGGCATTGCTTCAAACTATACGACTATATGGCGGCTCTTATTATGAAACATACCTACATTTACTGATACACCTGGTCAGCCAAAAGTCTTTTCAAGGTTTGCAGCAAATGGAACAACATATCAATTCAGGGTATTTGTGCTCATTCTACTCTGCTTCTCAGGTGTTCATGGGGAATCTTCATTTACGTGTACATGCACAATTGGTTTCTACATCATCCATACAAGAAACACTGAGCACCTGTCTAAACAAGATTTCGTATGGAGACACAATATGAACAAATGTTCAATTCAATTCTAGCAGGGAAAAGTGTATCCATTGAAAAGCCCTGTTAAGGTGGACCATTCCTGCACACTTGTTTCCTTCGTCCAACTGCTCCAAGTTCAATCTTGTCAGATGTGGGCACAAAAATTGTCCCAAAACCAAGGTGAATAAGAATACTTGATGAGTCAGTGAGAGCTTAATTGTGGTGGTTACCATGGTGCATGATGTATATACACTATTTGGAAGATCATAAATCTACGTCATAAATCTACATTCTTTGGAATGTAGTCAACCCTCCCACGACTTGGGTAACTATTATTGATGGAAATGCATGTGTACCAAGTTGTCCAAATTGAGATCACATCCCATGCCAGAGACTCTAGATCTGCCTTTGACAAGTAGGAAACATCTTGTTTTTGCAACATGAGTAAAATGTTTCTCTTCTAATTTTCAGTGTTTTCTAATTCATGTGCATTCCTGCTTATCTTTTGTCCTAGAGATCCTGTACTTACATGTCCATCTAATGAGTTCCCCGTCTCATGGAAAGGCATAAGGTGATATACTGCACTAGTACTTTGACCAAGGTAAACGTCTCCAATGTGCTTATGTGTGGGACACAGTTTGATTCTTATGCCTTCCCATAATTGGACAGAAAGTCAATTCAGAGAATAATCTAAACATTGAACCAGATTATTCTTCATATGATTGAAAAAAGCCAGTAGGATTTTAAAAAGGACGGTGAAAATCGAAATCCTATTTTCATTTGCATGTTCCTACGCTTCGTTGAAATGGTGACCTCGGTGATGATATGCAATGTACACTATAGAAATGAAAATAGGATTTTGATTTTCCCCGTTTACTTCAAAATCCTATTGTTGAAAACGTAATGTCGCCACCACGGGCATAACCTCGGAAATAAGAGGTAAAATCTAGATTGTGATTATTCATTTATTCATTTATTCATTCATTCATTTATTTATTT